CTACTGCCTGAGCCTCATCCATTGCTCTTCCCACTTTTGCTTCTGGCCCTGCTCACGCTTGCATGTGGCCCCCAGAATGTGTCACAGGATGAAATATGGCCCTTGGGGTTAAAAAGGGTTTCCTGCCCCTGTGGAGATGAGGGCAAGAGTGACATTTCCATTAAGTGTTACAAAATGGACATACTTGGTCAGTTTCCTCTTCTTCAGTCCGTTTTTACTCCTGAAAAAGGAAGAGAATGCTGCAGTTACCTTCTGGCAGCCATTTTCTGGATGGCGACAGCGTTAATCAAATGCCGTGAAACAAATCTGCTAACACACACTTGAGGACACATAACGTGGTAAGAAATGATTTCTAAACCACTTCTCCTTGGTTCACGTCCAGGTGAAGGAACAAAACCTTATATAAAAATGGAACCAAGAGAGAGATGCAAGCTGAGCGTTTAGTAGGGACCCGGTTTATTAAAGGGACCCGGTTTATTAAAGGAGCTATTGCAATAACGACAGCTGCTGTAAACCAGATGTTCAGCGAACCACCAGTTAGGAGAACTGCCCCGAAGGCACATTTTAACAAGGCTTTCATAGTGTTTTTCAAACACAATACATCATTAGCTTATAGAATGCATACATCAAGAGAGGTCATGGGTCAAGGGGTTTGCACACGGCAAACATATTTAGTTCATTTGTGTAACTGAATGATTAAAATTGGGCAGATCTTAAAAGCATGCCGGTTAATTGGGGGGGGGAGGGGAGAGAACCATTGCCCTTTTGGAACAGGCTCTTGTATAATGAGCATATAACCTGAAAGGACATTTGCTTTCCTATAAAGAAACTGCTGAATACTAGCCACATCAGGGGTGGGTGAAAGCTTAGCTATATCTCACTGATTATATGCAAAGTATGCAGGGTTCATTCATTCAATATCCTGCCCTTTTCCCCCATAGCAGCCCAGGGCAGCAAATCTATCAATAATAAAACATTTATTTTTAACTTTGTAAAAACAGTTTACAGATTTCCAAAACCAGGTATCTTAGGCTTTCCAAGAACAGTGCATTTAGGCCATCAAATCTCCAAGTAAACAGGGATGTTTACTGCCACTGAAAAGGCTGTCATGGGTCAATGCCAACCAAGGAGCCCCCAGTTGGCACCAGTATCCAGCGACATTGTCCCATTCATGGAAGGGCTTGCCCATCCCTCTCACCTCACTGTGTGTGCCCCAGATTTGCTCTTTGGGAGAAGTTCCACTGTGCAAGTGGAAGTCCTTTTGCAAACAGAACAGCTTTGTCTGATACAACCCTGAAGTTTCTTGGGCATGGCTAGACAGAGTTCTGTGCAACGCCCCCCCCCCATTTCCTCCCCACCCAATCATAAAATGGGTGCAAGGGGCAAAGTTCCCTCTTGCTTTTGTATTTCAAGAGTTGAACTCCATTTTAACGCCGAGAACACATTCAACATAGATTTGAGCAAACCTAGCAGGAAATGAAAACTTTTCGGTTACAGTCGAGGAAGAAGCAAGCTGTTTGATGCAGACTTACCAAGGGTTAATATAAAACGCCAAGAGATAATCAGTCCATAGGCAGGAAGGCAACAGAGTTAGGAAAGCAAAGACACTCCTACGCCTGTGAGTATTAATAGATAATATGCAGAGAGATTAACAATTGAAGTCAGGAGGATTAGTATGACAAGCAAGAGATCAATAGGTCACATGTTAAAATCTAGACAGACAGCCTGGAAGAAGAGGTAGGGATGTTAGAGGCCCTAGCTAAGACCATGGGCATAGTCAAGGCTATATAATGAAAAAGAGGAATTGATCCCTGTTTTCTGGGGTGCAGCAACCAACTACACTGCGTGGAGTAAACCAGCTACTCCCCACACTATTCACCCACAACCGTGTCCCCTTTTAAACCTCCCCAGGGACCCTCTTGCCACCCCCAGAGGCTCAAGTACATTCATAGCATTGGGCTGCTCCGTTTGGGGTTCCTTGTTAGCGTAACTCCAGCTTGGATCATTAATTAGCTAGAGCGTTTGATCTTTCGCCTTTGGTGCCATATCAAAGAAGCCCCCCGAAAAGAGGATTAATGATTGCTGTGGAGGGCTCTCTGCTTCTGGGAGCTCAAAGAGGGAATAAAGGTTGATTTCCGCTTAGTTCATTAGCTGCATCAATATTTACAGGGCCTGCTGGTGGCTTTCATTCAGTTTGGGAAGTTTTTATCATCAAAAGACTTGCTTCGGCGCCATATCAAATCGATTTTGCCAGTTGCGCCAGCCGGCTGCACCTCATAAAATCCGCAAAATACCTTCACATCTGCCCGCTCCCCATACCAGCCCTTTAACTGATTGGCCCATGGTCTTGGGGTCTTCCACTGTTTGGGGGAAGCACATGCCTCACATGGTGATATCCGGGGTATCATCTGCACATCACGGTAAGCCTAAGCTGGTTACCAGATGAGCTAATCAAAGAATCAGTAACCGCCCGAGGGCACTCACAATTCAGAATAGGAGATGAGAGAGTATATAATATAATATAATATAGGGATGTGGGTGGTGCTGTGGGTTAAACCACAGAGCCTAGGACTTGCCGATCAGAAGGTCGGCGGTTCGAATCCCCGTAATGGGGTGAGCTCCCGTTGCTCGGTCCCTGCTCCTGCCAACGTAGCAGTTCAAAAGCACATCAAAGTGCAAGTAGATAAATAGGTACCACTCCGGCGGGAAGGTAAACGGCGTTTCCGTGCACTGCTCTGGTTTGCCAGAAGCGGCTTAGTCATGCTGGCCACATGACCCGGAAGCTGTGCGCCTCAGCCAATAAAGCTGTGCTCCCTCAGCCAATAAAGCGAGATGAGCGCTGCAACCCCAGAGTCGGCCGCAACTGGACCTAATGGTCAGGGGTCCCTTTACCTTAATATAATATAATAATATTCTGAACTGATTTTTTCAAATCACTTGCATTTCAAGGTTACCAGGATTGCTCAAACATGAGGGATCTCAAAGGAGCTTGCAACCACAATTGTTCCTCCTCAGCCCTCTAGAGTGGGCTACTGGTTTAGATCTAATATGACAGGAACAGAGGAAGATGCTGTAGACCAAGTCTGCCCTTTGGTCTACACTGTCTGCACTGATTGGCAGCAGCTCTCCAGGAGTTCAGACTGAGGATGTGAGGATACCCAGAGCTTACAGGGTTAACAGGTCAGAGGGAAATGACATCCTGTCACTGGGGGGTGGGGTGTTTGCATCTTTGTTATGTGAACGTTTCTGTTTTGGCTGCGACAGGAGAAGCATCCTGCCTTCGCTATCTCCTGGTTGTTGTTTTGCTGCTGTACAATAAAGCTTCGTAGAATAGAAGCCATTGTATGAGAGTTTTACTGCATGGCTGAGATTCCTTCCACACAGGCACACCGCCTGAATTTGGGGGACCTTCTGCATGCAAAGCAGGTGTTCTATCACTGAGCTACAGTCCTTGCCTAGGATTCTGGATTTCAGAGAAGCGGTAGCTAGCAGGAAGTATTCATAAACTGAGAAGAAGGAAGAAGCATCTCAATAGACATGTTTAGGATTTCATGACATGACCCTAAGCACGTTTACGTTGTACTGGCTGAAAGACTTGGAGGGAACTTCCAAAGGTATTTGTGGGTCTAAATAGGTTTTAAATTAATAAGTCCTTGAAGAGAAAGCCAACCAGGTCTCTCTGCCTTGCTCTCAGTCTCTCTCTCTCTCAGTCAATATTTATAGAAAGACAGAAGAGGTCCCAAGGGCCATCTAGTCCAACCCCCTTGATTATCATTTGGGAGACACCAGGCTTGGTATACAAAACACCTGCAGTGTGGAAGAAATGGGTTTCATGGGTGAACAAGAGCATTAACTGATGATCCCTTAAGCATTTTTCTCATTGCAGAACTCATTGCAGATTCATTGACCAGATTTTCTGGACTTTTTATTGCTATGGGAGATTATATGTCCAGGGGAAGAAAAAGCAGCATTTGTCTTCCCTGACTCACATAACCAGATGCTTGAGCATTGCAGTTTCTCAGTGGAAATAGCTAAGGATGAAAGGCACGACCTCAATCAAATGAAATGCAATGCTTGAAGAGGTCAAAGAGGAGGGGGAAGGAGTGCTATAGGTGTACTGTACTGTTTTGTTGTATGGGCAGCCTTGGGAAGAATTTTGTTCTTGAAAGACGGTACGGAAATTTATTTAGATAATGAATAAATAGTTTTTTCAGTGCCATGTGGTCTCTGGAAGGCTGTGGGGGAGGGAAAGGAACCTTTTGTCTGAAAAAGGACCCCCTGTTCTAAGGCTGCTTCCCAGAGGCGATGTGACTGCAAATAAAGGGACTGGTGACCTCCTGCTTCCAAAAAAAAATTAAAAATTGTCCAGCAGCACCTTAGAGAACTAAGTTTTTTTTTTAAATAATCTTTTTCAAGATTTGTTTTATTTATTTTTATTTATTTTGGGGAAAGAATGGGGTAAAAATCATACAGATGAATAAATAATATAAAATGTACGTCCTATTTAAAATATGGGATCCAACTGTTAATGTTTGAATTGCAATATCTATCTCACAGCAAACATCATTTAGAGTTAGGGACAAAAAAAAACCAACCCCAATACACATCAAGAGAAGTAGCCAGGCAAATGTAAGAGTAGCTGTAATAAAACTTTGGGCATCGCTTACCAATTATATGGCAGTTTTCCATCTCTCTCCAATGAAGCAAAGTTCACAAAGGTTCCAGCTCCACATTCCCTGGTTTTGGAAGAAGACCTCAAGTGATTATTGGTAGATCAGCCTCTGTCTCTCTCACTATCTTTTATCTGTCCTGGACCTGCCTTTTCCTTCCCTCCTTCTTACTAGATCAATAAATTTGTCCATGACGAAAATACACCCCCACTGAACACAGCGAGGCTGACTTCTGACTAAGCATGGTTAAGCGCCCAACCAGACAGAGCAATAGAGAGCAGAATCTCTCAAGTTCTTCCCCTTCACAGTAGCGGGTTTCCCAAACATGGGTCCCCAGCTGTTTTTGGACTACAACTCCCATCCTCCCTAGCTAGCAGGACCAGGGATGATGGGGATTGCAGTCCAAAAACAGCTGGAGACCAAAGTTTAGGAAGCCATGTCCCAATGGAATAGAGAACTGAGAGTCGCACTGCTGCTCCAGCCTTGCCTCCCCAGCAATTGCAAAATTGGTTAACAGAACAATTAAGAGTCAGCAGATCTGACTGCAACCTTTGGTAGCCGGCAATATTTCTCCTCTGTTCCGTAACATCTGCATTTGTACCGGTGAGGAAACTCAAGGAGGAGAATTGCGTTTATTGCCAGGTCATGGAACAGAAAAAATATGGTGAGCATCACCTGGAGAACAGCTGTAGCTATAAATAAGAGCCAAGCAGACATAATCCAATTTAAAAGAGCTCTGCTATTCCAAGTGCACATGTTTCACCTGAAATGTGTACTGTACATCAAATACATCCCATTTAATAAAACACCATGTCTGCAGGAGAACCAATTAACACCCCCCTTTTTCCTCTCTCAAAGTGATGCTTTGAAATGCAATTACATACCTTGTTAACCTTGAAAGGAAAGAGGAAATTATTTTTATGCACAGTGTGCATGGAAATTGTAAGGAAATAGGGAGTCTTAATCCTTCTGCAAGGCTTTCATTGATAGATGTTTGCAGAATGAATCAGTGATGGGATTAACTTGGCAGCCAGGATGAGGACAGTCCTTGGACAAAGGGTGGGAGTTTCAGGAGTGGCGAAGGTCATGCAAACAAGGTTGCTGCAGTGGTGATAGAATCACCAGTTGCTTATTAGTTAATTCATTTGGATATGTGTAATCACTTAAGAGATGAACATATTGCAGGAGAATACCTGGTTTAGCTGTGGTACATGCATACAGAACCATAGAATTTTAGATTTGAAAGGAGCCCTAGGAGGTCAGCTCATCCAATTCCTTTCTGCCCGTGTCAGGTTCAGCCCAATCCAAATCTGGAATCTGAGGTCTTCTGAACCTAGACATTCCAACCGCAAGACTGGAGGTCTCCACACAAACCGCCTAGCTTGTCTGGGCAGCCCAGGACCTCCATACACACTGCTCAGGCTTGCGTCCCAGGGAGGTCACTTGCGTACTGCTAACACAGCGATTTGACTTCACCCCCAGAGACGCACAACCTGGAGTTGCTGGGGACTGAAATTCTGCATGCCTAGCAGATGCTCTCTCATTGAGTGGCAATCCTATTGAGCTCCTTCAACTGTTCCTCATAGAGCATGGTTCATCATAATATAAATTATGGGTCTCGTAAGAACATTAGAAGAGTCTTGCTGGACCAGGCCAATGGTCCATCTAGTCCAGCATCCTGCTCTCACAGTGGCCAACCAGATGCCTGTGGAAAGCCCCAAAGCAGGACATGAGCACAAGAGCCCTCTCCTGGCATCCAGAGGCATACTGCCTCCAAGGTAGAGGTCGAACATCACCATCATTCCTAGAAGCCACTGAGCTTTGGGGGAAATTCTCCATGAATTTGTCCAATCCTGTTTAAAAGACATCCTAGTTAGTGGTCATCAGCACTCATTGTGTAAGCGATATGCAGTGGCCCCAATCCCTAGCTCAGCATGGCACACGGTTGCTCCATTCACCATTTACGAATCATCTCTGGCATTAGAAGTCAAAGCTGACCTACCTGGCCATTTGCAGGTGTTTTCTCCGAAGGACCACAAGAGTGACCAGCAGCAGACCTATCAAAAGGATGCTCAAGATGGCTAGGACAGAGATGACCACCACGTTGGGATTCATCTCCGTAACTGAAAACGCAAGGAGGAGGAGCCAGGTTAAGGAATGATACCAAGACATGCGAAGGAAAAGACAACAATCCTGAATTATTTCTGCTTATAATAGTTTCTCAGAGAGCACTTCCACAATGACTACAGGGGTCCTTTAAAAAAGGCATATAGTGACAAAAAATGATGGACATTTGACCAAAAAATGCAAATGCTGTACTCTCAGTTCCCTGGTGGGCAAAATGTAAGAATAAGCTCAACAACTGACAATTTCATGCCCATTAATGCTACTCCAAAAGGTAGCATCTGACTAATAACTCAAAGCTTAGGAATGTACATTTTGCCTAATATGTTCTTCTGCCACATCTCAATCTTAGACTTGGAGGGACCACGAGGGTCATCAAGTCCAACCCTTTGCAATGCAGGAATCTTCTGAAAACCATTTTGGGGGTATTTTCCACAGGTCCTTGCCCTATGGTCGCCTTTTTTGGGGGTGGGGAGAGAGAAATGGGTGAAGTGAGTGAAGAATCAAAGGAATTCAGCTCACCCATTGTGGAGACAGCAATGAAAGTGGGGATGCTGGGGCTGTTGTGGCTGAAGGTGGTCACACTGCAGTTGTAGGACGTGGCAGGCAGGAGGCTGGAGATGGTCACTACATGCGAAGAGACCGTAACAGGCTCCTAAATGTAGGGGGGAGGCAAGGAAAGAGTTTGTGGTTAGTGATCACTCCGATTATTATATGCCTTCCCCACCACCGCAAGCAAATGCAGGCTAAACTCCTGTATGTGCTTAGAAACATATAACTGGAGAAGACCCCAAGGGTCATGAAGTCCCACCCCCTGCAGTGCAGGAATCTCAACTGAGCATTCATGACAGATGCCGGGTGGCTTACCAGAAAGCAAGCCCCATTGAACGCTGAGGGCCTTAATTCTGAGTAGACATTGTTATTGTTGCGTTATTCACTTTATCTGTTATTCCATCCTTAGTATATTATTATCCTATCACCTTGCTCCTTTTAATATAATATATTAAGGATGGAATAACAAATAAAGTGATTAACGCAACAATAACAAAAATAATAGTAGGCAAAGAAGATGACACATGGGTGGAGGGAAGTACTGGGCTGTGGGGGAGGGAGGTAAAGGGATTAATTGAAAGTGTTAAAGATTGGTATAGGATTTAAGGGATTTAAATTTTCATAAAGATTCTGTAACAAAAGCAGCAAGCAGCAAGAAATATCAAGTAAAGGTATCGGAGAGGAGATCCGTGTAAATGAAAACATGAGATTTATGGTTTTGTTACATATGATTTTATTTTGGAGTTGTCTGTTTATTTTGGAGTTGTTTGTTGTAAAGAATGTATATTATGTGAATAAAATAATAAAGGATTTGAAACGGGGGGGGGGGGGGATTCTGAGTAGACGTGCATGGAATCCTCTATGAGGAGAGGGTGCAATGTTTGGGGCTTCTTAGTTTCGGGAGGGGGGAGAGCAAGTAACAGTGGACATGATAAGGTGTATAAAATGAAAGTGTGGAGAAAGTTGTTTTAAGAATTTAAAATATAGAATAAATATTCACAAATGCACACATATCTAAATATATGAACCGTGTGTCTGAAATAATACAAGAGAGCAACCCTGAAGCCATTTTGACTCTCCCAATGACCTCAAATATTCCTCTCCAGTAAGGGAGGCAAATATGGAAAGCTTCCCATTGTCTTCTCACTTGCAAATCCTGTCTTAAGGGAGTATTTGTGTAGGAATAGGGTAAGCCTGTGACCTGGATTCAGGAGCTAAATTATTAACCCATTACAAAAGAATGGCCAGGCTGCCCAGGTTAATGCAATCAACAACCATTATCAGGTATCCTAGCAGACAGGATTTCTGCGACAGACGGCCTCCTTTGATGTATGTATGATGATTCTGGGGTGGTCTTTGGCTAAGGGGGTTGGGCAATGTCACAAGTCTTTAAAGGTGCTTGCACACTTTTGTTCAAGGTCCCATCCTCCCTGGAAGAAGGGAACTCTGTTTCAACAGAAAAATAAATATCTGCCTTGCTTTCCACTGGATCCTGCCTCCACCCATTCTTCTCTGACTCGACTAAGGGGACTCAGAGTTGGGCAGCAAAAGCCAAAACCCAATTTTTACATCAAAGTGGACAGGGAGAAGTTTTTCTCACTGTCTTAAAATATTAGAAGTCCAGGTGATCCGATGAAGCTGAATGTTGGATGATTCAAGATGGGCAAAAGCAAGCACTTCTTCACACATGGCTAAACTTTGGGATTCCTACCACAAGAGATTGTGGTGGCCAGCCAACACCGTCCCATTTAAAGGATAGGTTTGCGAGTGTTGAAACTCCCACTTTGCATGGAAAACCACACCATTCAGACGTCTACATATTTATACATATGTCCTCATTTTGGATAACTTATATCCTGGCCTTTGCGCAAGCCGCAAAGTGTTTGCAAGAAAAACAAATGAGATTAAAAGAACATATCAAATCTGACAAATATTGTCACCCTTAAAAACAGCAGAGCAACAACTCGCTAAACTGCAGTTATGGATAGCAGCAGTGTGGGGCAGCAACAAAGCATTCTCAAGCTGTACAGTCCTGGGAAGGCTGTAACATGTAATTAGTCTTTAACATCAGCAGTCAGGAGCGCTTCAGCCCTGTTTTTGAGTTTGTTTGAAACTTAAACAGCTTATCTCATATTCCTTTGTAAGTTTTTCTCAAAACCGTTTTTTGTAAACTCAGGGAAGCGTTTCAGCCCTGCTCTTGAGTTTGCTGGAAATCATTTAAAATCATTTAAGGTTTATAATGTTCTCTTAAATAGGGCTATGTTTAAAACTTGTCATTGAGGTTTTTATACCTTTTTTGTAAACTCAAGGAAGCAGTTCAGCCTTGCTCTTGAGTTTGTTTGATATCACTTAAAATTATTTAAGGTTTATGAAATTCTTTATTTCCTTCTGAGGAAACTGATTATTTCAGTGAAATGAATTTTGTAGCCGGCATCTCGTAAAGTCTTTGTTTAATTCTAGGTTAATTTTTCCTTAAATTTTTGATTTTTGTTATTTAGTTTAATTCTAAAGTTCATTACTTCTTGTTTGAGGGATTTTCACGGCAATTCTTTTGTTTTGTGTACAGTCCTGGGAAGGCTGTAACATGTGACAGAGACAAATGTGGAATTTAGCTCTTCTGTTCCTGACCACAGCATGCCGTGCAGGAAGGCGATAAAACCAAATCATGACACAAGCACAAATCAACAGTTTCGTCATAGTAACTCCCTGACCCTTTTTGTTTCTTCCTGGCTTTGTAACCAGT